CTCCAGCGATCCTTCCGCCTCAGTCTTCCAAGTAGCTGGAACTACAGGCGTGCGCTACCATACCTGGCTAATTTTTTTATTTATTGAAAGAGTCCTTTAAAGTAGCACAAGAAAGTAGCCTTTACTCAGATGGATAATATTCAGTTAATATCGCAATGCTAGGCCTGGCGCAGCGGGCTTAAGCCTATAATCCCACTGCTTTGGAAGGCCGACGCGAGAGAACTCTCTGAGCCCAGGGGTTTGAGACTACCCTGGACAATTTGGTGAGACCTCATCTCTAGAATAAAAAAAGAAAAAATTAGCCAGGTGTGGTAACACACGCCTGTAGTTCCAGCTACTTGGAAGGCTGAGGCAGAAGGATGGCCTGAACCCAGCAGGTAAAGGCCATGGTGGCCATAAGCGTGCCACTGCACTCCAGCCAAAAAAAAAAAAATTATCGCAACAGTCACCCTTCACTGTGACTTCAAATGTACTGCCTAAACACGTGTCTTTAACTCAGTGTACACCTCGTCACCAATTTCCACCACTCTCCCCTTCCCTTCTCAACCATGGCTAAGGAGATGTGATGAGGCATCAAGAAAGCATCCCTCCCTGGAGAGCCCATTGGCCTCAGCATCACCTAAATACCCAAACGGACCCACAGGCTGTCTGTCTCAGAGCTACCCGTGCTGACTTTCGCAGTTCACCAGCTGAGAAAACACACTTTCTTCCTCTGGTAGAGCTCAGAAATGAACACAAAACACTGTGGTTACATTCCAGTAGGCTGAATCCGTCTGTATCTGCCTTCTAACTCTTGGCAGAAATGTGACAGAAACAGGGGCTCCCTCTACTTTAAAAAAAATCTTAGCTACCTACCAAATTAACTGTCATAAAACACAGCTGTTACACACAGTATTGTTTACACATCAATTTCTTTTATGATATTTAAGATCATTCAACAGTAAACATTACTTTATATAATTCTACTTTTTTGTCACTAACACTATATTCTGTGACAAAAACAAGAAGACTTAAGTTCACCAAGGGTCCTAGAGAGAAGGGCCTCGGCCCCTCCAGCGAGGCCCCGCCCCTGCTGCAAAGTCATCTCCTGTCACGGGATCAGCCCTGTAGAGTCAGAAGCGGCCAACTGTCCTGTTCCTCCTAAGCATTCCCTTACCCATTTCACTGCTGTGTCGCATTTTTATATTTAGGTAATAAAATGTTCAGAAATTCTTCCAGAAAGCTGCAAGTATTCAGAGAATGGCACCTCTATTATTTTTATCCATAGATCAATTGTAAAATCTAAAAGCCAAGCAGAATTTCACGAACAGATGCAAGGGGAGAGGGTGGCCAGTGACTAAAGGGGACACAGGGCGGTTTCTGATCATGGAACGTGATAACATTTCCTTTCTTGGAGTTTCTTTCTAGTTTGTGAAAACTCACTGAACTTGCATGATGCATTTTTATGTATGTTTATATGCTAATAAAGTTACAAAACCATGATGGAACTACGATTCTCACTCAAATTATAGGACAATAACATTCCTTATCAAATTCAAAGACAGGAGTCAAAGTTCAATAGCCATTAGAATTTTAAAAATCAACGTTCACAAACTTTACACAACTTGAACGCGCTGGCCCTCTACCTGTCCTGTCACATAAATTGCCACCACCAACCTGGAGGGCAGACCAGCTGGGGCATGTCCATGTTCTGTGCAGGGTTCATGGGCTGCGCGGAGACAATGGCGGGATCGAGCGTCTGGTTTTCAAAGTCCAGCATTGAGTCCTACGGGTCAGGTCAGGACACGACAGCATGAGCCAAGTCCCGTGAGCACGTGACCCTTCTGTCAAGGGTGCAGCTGGAGGCACGTACCTGTATGAAGTTATAGGGACCCTGCATCTGCGCCATGAGGTCCTGCACTCGCTGCCTTCTCACGAGGGGGTCTGCCTGAGCCACCTGAGGCAGAGAGTGGGGCTCCGGTACAGAGGGGGACGTGGCCTGAGGCTGCTGCTGGAGGGAGTTGACCACCTGGTGTGGGAGGGCGCGGGCGAGAAAAGCAGCTCCATCATGACCGCGGTGGTGGGAGCCCAAGCCACACAGGCCACCCCGACTGCAACGGAGCAGGCTGAGGGCAGTCACGCAAATGGGTGCCGCTCCGCCTAATGTGACACTGTGATCACCCCTTCTACAGTGTTTCGATCCCAGAGGTCACCACGTAGTACTTAGATTTACTTCAAATTCAAAGACAGGAGTCAAAGCTGCTTTCAAAAAAGACGACCCATGCTCATTTCCTAAAATAACATATTTTGCCTAAACTGCTCCGCCTCCTATGGCAACCGGATTCACCTATCTGGATCACATACACACCCATCTCACACCTGGTATACAGCCAGCACTCAGCAAGTGTTAGCTGTTGCCATCTAGATGTGGGGTCCTTCTCGCCCTTTTCTCTGCCAGCACCCTAGGATCAAGCACCACCACCTCATCAAACCTGCTACGGAAGCCAAAGCTCAAGTTCCCAAGCTCCCCAGCTCTAGCGCTTTCCTCTGACCCTTGTTCCTAGCAATTCCCTGCTCTGCTAGGGGACCCTTGCCTTCATTACAGCAAACTGACATGCTTCTGTCTGCCTTTCAAAACAGAACATATCAAACCTGGTGAGCCTGGGCAAATCATCTCCTCATTTCCCTTACAAACAACGCAGATAAACACCACTGCCAACCTTAAGGGCGCTTCAAAAATCCCTGGAGTCCCACATGGACAGCCTCTAGAAGGGGCACTCACCACACACCAGGAACAAGCACAAGGGCACAGTGCTCTCCTCTCAAATATAGAATGCCACAAGGCACCTGCCCACCTTTCCCACTCCACAGACCTCGCATTCTAGCATTCAAAAAAACCAACATGCTCACCATTCACTTCTCCTCCACGTCCACACTAACACACACCATTTGCCCAGCGCCCCTAAAGCGCACACTAATCCACGTCCAGGCCCAACAGGATGGTACACCTCACAGACCCAACTGCCCCTGAAGTAACACGGGCTAGAACTGCAAGGGTCCTCTGAGCCAGGCGTTTTCTCCAACCAGTACTCTCGGGCCAGAAACCCAAGTATGTGAGAGTTCTGCAGGACCAACAGTGGGCTTGAGTATGGGTCACGTTGGGGGGTCCTGGAATCTCTCCTCCTCCATATACCAAGCGGCACCTGTCTATCACCAGCCTACAGAACTTCGTGATAAGTCTTCCTTCTAACCTTCCTGTAACATCTCTGACCTGCATTCCTGAATTCAACACACACACGTGTGCTGGGATTTCACAGGACAATATTTTCATCCCCAATTCCTTGCTCTCCATTCATGGCATGTCGGTGCTGCAACAGAGGGTGAAGCCACCAACTCAATGACACATGTCTGGAGGACGGTCCTGAGAGCAGAACAGCCCAGGTCCTCACCTGAAAGCAGTGTTCCTCACTCTGAAGGCATAGAGGAAGACACCCGAGGTTGGAGGGGCGAGGACCACCTGGGGAGGCAAGCTATTTCTTACAGGTGACAAGCCACTAATCCAAGTAATTCAACAAATCTAACTCTGCCAATAACTAATTTGTGACAATGAACAGCACAGGCTGGGGGCAGACAGGAGAAATCCGAGGGGAGACTGCGCTGGAGACGAGGACCTGGAAAGGCGTATATGGCATGGCCCCCAGCAGCCCAGTAGCACGCCACAGCCCGAGCAAGCAGGGCCTGGAAGGCAGGTCCAGATGGCCCCACGCCCCCAGGGAAGTTTTTCTGAAGGTCATCCCTGGGGAGTCCAGATTGTAAGAGCAACCCAGGACTAATCCTGTAACTGACAGACAAACCCACAGGCCCTCTGTATAAAATCACTTTTATAACTGGTTCAGCAAAGCAGTGATTCTATCAAACAGCCACAGGGACAAACAAATCATTGTGTGAAGGTAACAGTCTTTTGTAATGAGTTTGTTATGAGAATAAATGCACTGACAATGCAAAAGACCAACAATCTCAATATGCTCTCAGAAGAGACTGAATACAAAGACATCGGCCAGCACCATGGGAAACTCTTACCTCCACTGTTTCCACCGTCCACTCCTCCACCTGCTCCTTCTCTCCTCCGCTGAACTGTGTTTCCGCCATAAACTGTCTGTTTACATACTGCAAAGCAAAGCCAATGTTTTAGACACTTGTCTGAAAGACAAAAAAGCCAAGGTAGGTCAGCTAAAGCTCATACCTCCGTGGACTCCACTTCACTTTGCTCAGTGAACTCTTCCGCTGGCTCAGGTTCTGAGGGTGAAAATGGTACAAACAGGACGTTTAGGGCCTGCTGAGATCACGGCGGCTACGTGGCATTCTAAAACTGGCCAAACTCACAGGATGTACAACACCAAGGGGGAGTCCAAACGCACACCACAGACTCTAGGTGGTCACCAGTTGTGACAGGTGGACCCAGCATGTGCGGGGGGAAACCTGCACCTTCTGCTCATTTCCGCCTGAGCCTAAAACTGCTCTACAAAACAAAGCTCTTCCAACCTTTGGAAGTTTTTCAATTCAACTTTAACTCCAAATAAGCAAACAGTGTACCATCACACAGGCTGGATTATTTACCAAGTTAGTTAACACTACATTCCTATATTCTACCATCCTTACAGTAGTATCTCTAGTTTTCTTGGCCATTTATTCCAGAATAGATTAATGTCAACAGTAATCACTCGGACCAGGCACAGTGCAAATAAAGGGCTACTGCACTAAAAGCCCCCTCTCTTCTTACGAGTAAGAGTATAAAGCAGCATGTAGATTAAATCTTCCTTTCTGTTTCCTTGGTAAAGCGGAGAGGAGGGAAAAGATGGCTTCGACTGTCCCATGCCACAGTCCCCCCGCCGCCCCGCCACCTTCCTTTCCACCTCCCCCTCCGCTGACCCTGGGAACCGCCTCCCACACTTGGCACTGTACACATATGGCAGTTATTATCTTCTGCATGGGAAAACTGGGGTCCAAGAGCTTCAATAACTTGCCCAAGTGGTGAAGCCAAGTTTGAATCCAGGCAGCCTAAGTCTAGATTCTATGCTTTCATAACCACTAAAATGTATGCTCCAACAATGTTTCTAACTGTACTCAGAATTCTACTCATCAACCTCAGAGTTATCATAAAAGTACTCACAGCAGGTGTCCAGCCCCATCATTAGTGCCGTGCTGTATGTTAACATTAATTCGGAAAGCCCCTGCCATGGAGGAGTTTACAGTTCGGGAGCATGAAGCTATCCGCTCACCAGGATTTAAAAAAAAGCAAAACCAACTCACACTGCCCCACCCCACACACAGACATGGCAAACAGCAGCAAGTGGGCACGCTGACACTCACTGTTGGAAACCCTCCCAGCAGCTGGCCTTGCAACACTCCCACCCAGAAGCACCACAGCTACCAAGGCTTCAAGACATGCCTTGCCACACTGCACATTTAAGAATCTGAGTGTATGTATTCGGCGACTGAGTCGGCATGCAGCCAGCGCGTGCAGCAGAGAGAGGAGAGGAGGCGCAGCCGCTGGCCAGCTGTCCCGGGGCCTGCTGCTCCCGCCGCCCAGCACTCACCAGCATCAGCCACTTGGTCCTCCACGGCAGGGGCTGAGGCCACCTCCGCCTCACACAGCCCGTTCTGGTGACCGTGGGTGCTGTCAAAGTAGTTAGACTGGAAAACCCGCTCCACAATGTCTTTGAGAACTTTATCTAGAAAAGGAGGTGAATTAGGATGTCAGACCTGAGGACGCTGTCTTAGAAAAGATTCAACATTTCACAGAAATGCTTCATCAACTAGTACCGAGACACACACACACACACACACACACACACAGAGTCAATTTCACCAAGCACAGAGAGGCGTTACAGAATGACAGGAACACGAGTCTCATACATATGACTTTATGTATCACAAGTGAACTCATTCTGAGGACAAGCTGGAGCTCCCCGCCTGCTCAGTGAGCGCTAACTTTGCACATGCTACGTGGCACAACACACGTGGTGTGTTAGGCACAGGGAACGCAAGGGTGCGAGAAGACACAAAACCCGCCCTCACTAAGCATGGCCCAGGGGTGACATCTGTGATGGGTGGACAACAGGCCAGACCCAGTCGGGGCAAGCCCCGTGAGGCCTTCCCAAGGTCAGTGTCTCGGAGCTGAATCCAGAAGGAGTGAGGAGGAAGAAACAGTCCTGCAAGGTCCTGGGCAAAAAGGATGCAGCTGCGGCTGGAGCACAGAGGGACCGCGACAGAAGAGAGGGAAAGGGCCAGAGTACGGGCTCCTGGGGAGGGCACCCTGGGTGAGACGAGCCAAAAGCATCCACGGTAGCACGCTGGAGGGAAGGGTGGGCTCAGTGAAGCCCCAGTACCACACGAGAGGCTGACAACGCAGACAGAACCAAGAGGGAGTTCATAGCAGATGGGAACCGTCGGGGCGTGGTGCACATGCACACGAGAGTGTGTGGGGTGGGGGGTATCCAGGATGTCCTCAAGGTGTCCCAGCCCGGCCTCATGTGGCAGGTGCACAGGGGACCCGAGGGCCACAACAGAAAGAAACACAGCAAGGACCACATCATGTCAAACTATTGTGAACCAACCCTCGGAAACCATCTCCACCAACTCTCGGAATCACCAACACTCCGTGTTTTCCCCACTTCACATGTCACTCCTGACTCAGTCACCTCATTTCACAAACACGTGTGGCTCTAACACTCAAATGGCAAATCAGAACCTTGCCAGTAGCTACAAACTGGTTACATTCCTGAGACGCAGGAAAACAAGATGCGGTAGGAACCCCCACGAGAGACAAGTGTAGACACGTGACCCACTGCTGCTGCTAACAACCTCACCCAAGTGCCACCAGGCTTGACCCACAACTGCCTTTTTAAGCCAACAAGCAACACGATATTTGTAGCAGAACTAGAAGCAAGAAGCTAAAAACATTTTTACCAAGAAACAGACTAAGTAACAGTTAACAAACCCGGAAAATGACTTCTGTGAGGACTGGCCCTCACCCGACTCACCCATTTGCGAACATGCAATGTTTGCTGACTAAAGCTTATAACTAGTTTCATTTCTTTTCCACCAACAGCTAAGAACAAGCTGCAAACGGATACTTTTACCTTAGTATGTTCCCTAATTCAACCTTATAAATAGCAAAGAAGAGCCGGGCTCGGTGGCTCAGCCTGTAATCCCGCGCCTTTGGGAGGCTGAGGTGAGTGGATTGCCTGAGC